ACTTTAATTTCAAAGAACCCAAATAAGAAATTAAGTACTATGTATATTTAAATTATTTCAATATATTCAAAGATTAACATTAAGTAAAAGTATACAAACTAGCATTGTTACAATACTGCAAATACATATGATCCTATGTACACATTACATGCAAAAAATAAATGAGACTCTAAAAAGTGGAATATTAAGAAATACATTTAATGCCCAGCATATACCCTCAGTGTATTAGACATCGTTTTTCTACAATAAATAATTTCCATGGATTTACACCAATATGCTTAAAATAAAGTAGCATTTTAAAATTTGATTATATAGACACAATTTTTTAAATTTTTATTTGATAAGTTATCTAAATTGTGAACTATAATGATAGTGTTAGAAAGAGTGGCTTTTGATGGTTCCAAATATGAGTTATCACCATTCCTATCCCACTGACCATCATTTATGTATGGTTCCCACTAAGAATCATTATGAACTTGATCATTCAGGTCACTGAATAACTAAATATATATATATATAAAAAACCAAATATATATATATAACTAAATATATATATAGCGGTAGGGCGTTTGTCTTGCGCGCAGTCAGCCTGGCCGAGCCGGGTTTGATTCCTCCGCCCCTCTCGGAGAGTCCAGCAAGCTACCAGGAGTATCTCTCCTGCGCAGCAAAGCCTGGCAAGCTACCCATGATGCATTCAATATGCCAACCACAGTAACAAGTCTCAAAAAATGGAAACGTTACTGGGCTCACTCGAGCAAATCGATGAACAACGGGAGGACAGTTATATATGCATATATGTATTTATGTGTGTATGCATATACACATATATACATACATACATATTCTTACAAGGTGTAAGATAAAATTGAAAGTTACCATAAAATCTACCATTGTACAATTTTATATAATTTCTTAATGGTCCTCCAAATGGTTCAAACCTTCGTGCTAAGTAGTAATAAATTATGATAAATGTTATAAGACATTCTGAAAAAGCACTACAAACCTATTTTTGCATTCACTGTCTCACATCTCTGTTCTAAAATGTTCCAACTATGATTTTATCTCTGACATATATCACCAGACCCCTTTCTATTGGAAAAAAAGATACACATTTATCTCAATATTAAAGATACAATCTGCAGCAAAACTCAGATTTATTCCAATATGTGGAACTTTGGCATAAAACACTTAAAACTAGTGGAATCCTGCCTAAATACTTCACACAGCCCCTCCATCACCCTCTATTATGCAAGCTGCAACATTTCAAGCCAACTCTCTTATTTCACCATTGAGCCCTGTCAACACTGAGGTAATAAGACTGGAAAAACTCATCACTCCACACAGATATTCAAACAGGAGAAATTATTTCATTTGGTAAAAAATATATATACCACTGCCAAATAAAACTAACAAAAATATAGTCAAGTATGCAAGATTTTGAGTAATTCTTTTGTCAAAAAGAACTATTGGGGAGTCTCAAGTTCATCCTGAAATTGTTTTGGCATGCTTCTGCTCCTTTGATCCTTTCATGCCCCATGCCTTAAATATATAGGGTAGAAAGGATTACCAGAGAAGTCCAGAAATGAACTACTCAGATCATTTATGCATTTTGTCAACTCTCATTTTATTCCCACATGCTTTTCCTCATAGTTCACTCCTCCAGGGAGAAAGCTATGTTTAATTCATCTCTGAACTTCCCCAAAGCATCACATATAAAGTCATCCCTATATGACTACATGATAGGCCCCGAATTTGGAACCAGAGACTGAGAAGTGAAAGAGTTTTAAGATACAGAACTCGCCCTCATAAAATCTCACAGAACAGGGCTACTGGCTACAGGAAACAAATTAAGTGATAAAGGCATTGTAATCAGATCCACTATATTCTCTTTTCCAGGTGCCAGTCAAGACTCAGATGCAAAACAAAGCCGTGTTCTCTTCAAAAATATAAATGTTCATCTTGATCCTTAACTATTCTATTTAGTTCCATATTTATACATCCAACGGCCTATTCAATATGTTGACTCAGAGGTAGCAGCCAGGATTGATTGCTTGGACTGCTTAGGTTTGAATTTCAGTTCCTATTTACTCACAGTTGAGTGACTTTACTCAAGTCACTTTTAACCTTGCACTAATTCTACTTGTAAAATGAGAACTATAATGGTCCCCCCACATACAACTGTTATAGTTAAATGAATGCATGTAAAAGCCCTTAAATTCTTCTAAACATACAATCTATGCTTACATGGTGCAATCACTAGTACTATGTGTAAATAGCATCTGAAACTTGTCCAAAACAGACCATGTGATTATCTTCCCAAAGTCCTTTTTCAGCGGTAGGGTGTTTGCCTTGCGCGCAGCCAGCCTGGCCGAGCCAGGTTCGATTCCTCTGCCCCTCTCGGAGAGCCTGGCAAGCTACCAAGAGTATTCAATATGCCAAACACAGTAACAAGAAGTCTCACAATAGAGACATTACTGGGCCCGCTTGAGCATTCTCCCAACTGTTCCATTCGAACCAAAATCTATCATTCTCCTTTCCTCATCCTTCACATCAGAAGGTCAGACTAACAACTCGATCTTCATAAGCACATCACAAAGCTAACCACTTGCATCATCTCTACAACTACCTCCCCTAGCCTGAGACTCTGCTATCTGTCAGGGGAAAGCCATCATCTCCCGATTTTCAATACTCCCACTCAATGAATCTACAGTTCATGCTCTGTTCAACAGAACTGAAACTGGATGCTATTCCACTGATGCGACTTTTTAATGGTTTTCCACCATAAAGCGCATCTTTACTACAGTACAACCTACAGGGGTCCCTAGAAGTCTTCCAGGCCCTCCAATATCCTGCCACCACTTTTATTGCTCCTGTGTTCTAAACACTTTCCTCCCTTGCTAGACCCCAACCACCTCAAGTTGGTTTCAGTCTCAAAGTACAGTCCTGAGCAGTATGAACTTCGAAGTAAGACGGCCCAAGTAAGACTACTCCCTATCACTATTTTTTTTATATACTTTATATTCCTGGATATTAAGTCCAGGCCTTCACACATGAGAGTTCAAATCATCCATTGGGTCATGATTGGATGAACCTCTGACCCATATCCCCAGCTGTTCCTATCCACATTTTAACAGTGCAGCCATTGTAAGTTCTGAACCTTCCCATATCTACAGAAATGGAAACATAAATACTTATTTCATAAGGTTGTTATAAAAATTTAGAAGTTAGAAGATTGCCTCACCTATGGGAAACTCTCCTGAAGTGTTTATTACTATCCCTGCCTGAAATATACCTGAGGCTTTTCCTCTCACCTTAATCCATTTGTCCATCTGATTATGCTCCTTTGCAACATACTCCTTCCCTGGCACATTATCGAAAATAACCCTCCCTGGGTCCTCAATTTTCTTTACTGAAAAATGAGCTCCACTCGGTAGGAAACTATTACCAAGTTTGCTGCTCCGTTTCTAGTTCTATCTGGAATGTGATTTCTGTATGTACACATCACTTAGCCAGGCTAGAGGAACTATGTGAATTCTTAATAACAATATCATACTCAACAGCATTTCAGTTTCACACCTATGATCTCATTTGAGCCTTGAAAAAGCAACAACAGCTACACCACCATCTCTTAATTTAGAGAGAAAAAGTTAAGTTCCAAGTTTGGATAACTTGTCTTTAGGGAAAAAAAAAACTAGCAACGGGTGAAAACAAAAATTAGAAATGCAGCTTTCTGATTCTAAGAATGGTCGAGTGAAGCAACCTTCCATGGGATTTATAGAAACGAGCTGTGAGCTCTTGCCATCTTCTGAATAAGGAAGTTTGCACAATAGTCTTCCCTGCAGAACTTCCAACCAAACCGTGTCCTTGAATTTGAGAAGTATAAAATGTATCCAATAATGCAATGACCTTTAGCAAGCCAAGAAAAAAAAAAGAAAAAGAAAATCCAAGCAGATTGGATGATGGACCCATAACAGTCCCTAAGACTCACCACATCAGTTCAGTCTAATTCACTAGCTCCAGTACACTGAAACGGGTGGGTGGGAGGGGTCCGAAACTGACTGAACACTGGGTGATTTGTGATCATGGCACTTAGTCATTTCTGGACCCCAGTTTCACTAAGTTTGGTGTCAACAGTTCAGATCGCCCCACAGGCTCAGATGGTGTCCTTCATCAGAGGGGGAGTGTGGGGTAGCGGGTGGAGAAGGGGCAACAAAGCAAAACTGTGAAAAAGATGCCTAAATCCTAACAACCTTGGTCCAGTGGCCAGTGGCCACCACGTTCTCTGAATACACTCCACGCTTTCTCCTAACAGGTTTCCTCGTCAGTGTCCTTTACGTGCTCCCCCAATATTCCTGGTCCTGCAGGGGAACTGAAGTGGGGGGGGGGGGGGGGTGAAGATGCAGGAGAAGGGGCAAAGGCTGTTTTCCACTCCCATTTGACACAGGAAGAAAAGGGATCATCTTTCATCACTTGTCCTCAGAGATCTGATCACTGGAGGGATCCCAAAGCAGGGCTGACTATGGAGTCTGTAAAGGACACCTCCCCCTCCACCCCCAACACCACCACCACCACCTGTCAAATTCCAGGACTGGGGGGGGGCGGGGGGCTCCGAGTCATCACGAGAGAAAGAGAGAGAGAGAGAGAGAGAGAGAGAGAGAGAGAGAGAGAGAGAGAGAGAGAGAGAGCCGCTCCCACTTGGATCTTCCCCTTTCCACCGCCTCTCACTCCGGCTCCTGGATCCCTCGGGATATCCCAGGGATAAAGGTCCAGCCCCCGCTCCACCGGGCGCGGCCTGGCCTCCTGGCACCTCAGGTCCCTTCCGCTCCAGCGGGCACCCCCGCAGCGGGCGGGCACCTGTCCCTGCAGCCACCCTCGGCGGCTCCCCTCATCGCCCAAGAATCAAACGCCCCCACGGCACCACCGACACCGGGACTGCGAGCGGCCAGCAGCAGGCTGAGCCCCGCAGGCCCTGGGAGCGGCAGGAATCCTCGGAAACTTACAGTTTTCCTACAGCGTGCGCGTCACGGCGAGGTGACGTCACGGGACCCGGCGTTCGGGGAGGTCAAGCCGCCGGGCCCCGGGCTCCCGGGCCCTCGGCTCCGCCCCCAGCGCGAGGGGCGGGGAGGCCACGCCCCCTTTCCCCGGCGGCCACGCCCCGTCGCGGGGTCCGGCGCGCAGGCGCAGAGGCGCAGCCGAGCCGGGCCGCCTCCGTCGTGGGCTTTGGAAGCCGACGCCAGTGGCGTGGCCGCGCCGCGTGGGAGAGCGCTGGGCCGGGTGGAGGGCAGGGGAGGGAGTCGCTAGGCGCGGGCTCAGTCGGACGCGCCACACCAGCCGTGGCCAGGGGATTGAGTAGGGCTCCAGGATTGTCAGGTAGTGTGTGCTTCCCTCACGTGTTCGCTAAAAGTTCTCCACGTGTGGAAAAAGCCGTGCGCGCCCTATCAGGTGTCTGCGGGGCTGCAGCCTGCAGACGTCAGCCGTCCCGGGGGCCCTCGCTTGGTCCCTGCGCCGCTCCCCCACCCCCAACCCCCGCGCGGGTGGCCAGACCTGCCCTGGCTGAGCCCGCCCTCAAACCCGCCCTTCCGGCTCCTACTCCTGGTTCCAGGGGACGCCCACCGACCCCGCCCTGCGGGCGTTTCCCTGGGCCTTGCCTCTCCCCTTCCTACTGGATTTCCCGTGTGGGGCTCACCGAGGCCATTTACAGACCAATGTCCACCTCTGTTAAGGTTAACAAATGGTGATCTGTATAAACAAATACGTAATTTCCGGTGCCTAACCCCAGGACTCCTTTATGCTCTAAAATGTTTTTATGATTTTTTTATGCTATACTATTCAGTGAAAGGAAAAACAAAGCTCAAGGACTGGTAATAGAGCAACAGATTTTTCTAGCTTGTCGAATTCTTAACCTTATTACGGATGCAGCAGATCTGACTTACATCAGGTTCTTGTGGAGGACGTGGAAGACCAGCATTCCGGTCACCAGCTGTCTTTAGTGTTACGGTTCTTTACAGCTCATTTTAGGTTCATCTCTGCAAGATGACTGGTGCAGCTGCCCTAGCAGTAATAGTCCAAAACCAACAACCCCGTTCAAAGTCCAAAACCCACACATCCCCGTATAGTTTCCTGAGCTTATATAGGTTACGTATCCGGGTCCCTTAGCTGTTTCAATTTACCTGATTGGTTCCATACCTATCAGGTCAGTATGCGCTATGCAAAGAATCAATCAAATTGTAGGAAGTAAATTGGAGTTTGTGGGAAGATCATTGGCTCATCTTTCATATGTAAATGAAGGCTTGTGGGACAGATCACGTATGTAAATAGACTGGTCAACAGTTCTTGATTATCTACCTATCCTCATTTTTCCTCCATAGCACACGGGTAAGAGTGGGTATCATAAAGCCCCTACGGATATGGCAGTGAATGCCATCTTCTGAAACTGCTACCTCCTGGAGAGATGGAGTTTTACAGTGTCCATCCTTGTTCTCTGTTGGGAATGACAATGGCAGAAGAATCAGAGTCAGATTACAGATGGTGGGTCTAGTGGGCCATGGCAGATGTTTGAAGATTTTTAAAAGAGCAGTTGGTAAAGTGGTTCAATGACCAGGATCCTTTTGGAGTTCTTGGGCTCTGAGAAGACAAATTTGCTTTGTCAAAACTATTATATTTTACAGATTCCTTAAATGGCAATAGACCAGCAAAGAAGATATCACCACTGAGAAGGGGTCCCTTGGAGCCAGAGTAAATAGTAGAGTGAGTAGGGCATTTTTCTTATACCTGACAGACCCAGGTTCAATCCCTTATGGTCCCCAGGACTGCCAGGGGTAATTCCTAAGGACAGAGCCAGGAGTAAGCCCTGAACACAGCCAGTGTGGCTCAAAATCTAGAACAAAAGAAAGGGTTCCTTCAATTCAATCAGCTTAATAAATGATTGAATAAACAGCCATACTCCTACATCAAAAAATAAGGTAAAGGTAAAGGCCCTCCCGTTGATCGTCGATTTGCTCGAGCGGGCCCAGTAACGTCTCCATTGGAGACTTTGTTGTTACTGTGTCTGGCATATCGAATACTCTCGGTAGCTTGCCGGGCTCTCCGAGAGGGGCGAAGGAATCGAACTCGGGTCGGCCATGTTGGCCGCTTGTAAGGCGAACGCCCTACCCGCTGTGCGAAAAAGGGTCCCTTAATTCACATGCACAAGCAAGAAGCAAAGTTGAAAGTTGTACTTATAAATCAGGTGAGGTCACTGCTCATATACTTAATGGAATGTGTCAGAGAAGTACTTTAGGCCTTCTAGATATTGGGATATCCTTAGGTCAGAGTTGGAATCAGAGTTCTCTGTATCCATTGATGAAGAGTCATCTTGAATCAGATTTTTTGGCCTCTGAATGGGAGGGACCAATCCATCTTTTGAGTTGGAGAGTGATGACTGTGACTCAAAATCTCAGGAACCTTGATGGCTGTGGGAATAGAAGAATCAGAAATGAGTCCTTTCAAAGAGTTTGTGATACTGGTGACTCTGGTCTACCTTGGAGAGCTTTAACGAATACCAAGATTCCTGGGGATAAAGAGGTTCCTTAGGAGCCTGTTCTTAGAGAATACTTGCTGACCAAACTCTTCAAGTCTCTTGAAAAAAAGCTGAACTGTAAGAATATGCCTTTTTAGCAAGGAATACTCAGAGTCAAACAATAAATTGGTCAGTGCAGATGAAGGCTCTCCCGTTATAGAATTCCACAGGGGCTAAAACACAAGCCCATGGAAGGGGCACTGTGAATTCAGAGTGAAGCCAGAGGAAGAACTTGACACCAATTTTGAGAAGTTTCTTTAGTTTCTGAATTGTGTCTGTAATTTCTGACTTAACTCTTTCCACTTTTCCTAATGATTGACACCTCCAGGTGGAATATAAATAATATTTAATTCCAGACTTTGGCCACCTACAGGGCTACTTCTGCAGTGAAAGAGGTATTACTGTCACTGTAAGCTACAGAGTTGCCTAAATTGAGAAGTTATTTCCTGGAAAAGTGCCTTAGGTGCATCTTGTACTCTTTCAGTCTTTCAGTATCCAATAAATATTCATCAAGTAAAGGTATCCACTAAGTAAAGATATTGACTAAGACCAGCAATTATTTGAACACACCTTATAGGGCAACTGAGTAAAGCCCAATTCTTCAGGATGTGCCATGCCTTTGCATATTGGTGATTAATGGGATACTGAACTCCCTGAGGGTTGTTGTACACACAGATTCACAATTCTAACACATTTGATACCAAACCACTGATATTCCTTTCCCAGTAAAGATGAGCACCTATGGATGTGGAGTTTGACTCTACGCAAATGACAAGTCTGTAAGCTCTTGATGGTCTTCCGCAGGAAAGCTTGGGTCAGATGAAGAGTGTTCTCTTCCAGAGTCATCCCTCTTTCTCTTCATATTCTCTTGTCAGTGCCCGAGATCACTCCTCTTCCATATGGGACAGGCAAATGTCCCCAAAATATGACTGAAGGGTTAACGTCAAGACTGCCAACAACATATGTCTTTTGGATGACCTTTTGGCTTCTGGACCTGCCATTTTATTTCCCAATGTCAGTTCACTGCTGTCTCATTCATTACCTCAGCAATATATAATTGCAACCCTTGAAGGCAGACGTACAGCATTTGGTAGCGCATTTGAGAGCTGTACTTAACAAGAGGTTTTTGGTGATCAAAAATCCCCCTTCCTTTCAAATAGTATCATGTGTGCACAAGACCAGAAAAGCATACTTGGAATTTGTGCAAATGTTGATCAATTTGTCCATTCTTAGCTCCTGGGTTCTAGTCAAGGCTCTGAGGTTTAGTTAGTTGGGTCAGACATCCCAGACCACTTTCCACCACTACATATACTCAGATTTACATGTGCTTTGTTCTACAAAGGAACAGCCATCAAAATGGGATATGGATTTTCCAAAGAATTATGGACAAGTCGAGTCGGCTTACATAAGTGTGTTCAAGGGTTTGGTGTCAAGAGTGTTCTAATTGTGAGAAGGGTTCTGCACAGGAAGTAAAGAAGCCAAAATTAAGAGTCCATAGCTTCAAAGTAAATTATTATCCGAAGAGATGGTTTTCTGTCATTCAAAGGCTTCCCTTGTTTTCTAGGATGACATTTTTAGTGAGGTGTGCAGATGATTAAGACTCCTCCAAAATTTAATTTAAATGTCTCCTGTGCCAGCAAAGTGGTGATGACTTTGTTACTTACTGTTCATAGGTAACTATCACACTGATGGCCAGATCTGTTTTATCCTCAAATATCCCACCAGTAACTTTTCTGTACCTATGAAGTTGTTAAAGCTTCTTGAAGGACAGAAAGAGCAAGTGAGATAAGTGTTCAAGCAAAAGTATCGGCCTGAAGAGTGAGCCTAAAATACTTTTTTAAGAAAGAGAGAGGCCCGCCCACCTAGCCCCCCTTTCTTCTGCACAGGTGGGACCGTTTGTGCACCCCCCATCTCCCCGCCCCCCGTAGCCCCTATCCCCTGCCACCCAGCACCCGCCAGAGTTCCACCACGCATGCCCGCCCATCTGCCATGCCCTGCCTTCTGCACAGGTGGGACCATCAGTACACTCCCCATCCCACCCCACCCTGCAGCCGATCAGGATCTCCTGACACCCGGAAAGATTCCTGAGGGGACCCTCCGGAGTTACGACTGCACAACTGCCCACCTAGCCCCTACCTTTCTCCTGTACAAGCGCTTGGCACAGTCTCCTGGCATCCCTACAGGCTGGAGGTGTGGCCTCCACTGTAAGGGGCGTGACCTCCTCAAAACTGGGCAGTGGCCTTCTGTGTGGGCAGCAGCCACAGTTATTTTCCTCATTCCTAGAACTGTCAACTCATATCCCAACCTATATCACCTAATTCTGTGCAAAACGTCCCAGCCACCTCAAACACAATACAACAATCCACTGGCCTACATCAACTCCGTTTAAAAAAACGGTGTATGCAAAAAGCTATACAAGCCCTATATAAAAGAACACATCCTCTAATGCTTCACTAGATGCCTATCATAAGTCACAGAATAATGATTGAGAGGAAGGACATATTATAGAAGGGGAGAAGGGTGACCACCAT